TATTTAAATGGTTGTCCACTAGGACTCCAAGATCCCTTTCACAGTTACTACCATTAAGCAAGGTACCACCTATATTGTACCTGTGCATACAGTTTTCTTTATATGCAGTCGCCCTTCCTGAATGACGTCGGGAGGAAGAAAGGCTTAAGGGCAACATTGCTGCCTGCTTACCTGTGGGATGTTGACCAAAAGACTCGCATTTGTGACATTGGCTACGCGGATGAGACCCTGCTGTATGATCCGCTGACCCTGGATCTGCACGTTGGGAACGGAAGCCCGTGGAGCTAGGACCAGCGGAGGAGGCACCGAGCTGGAGTGCGGGCGGATGTTGTGGATTTGCTGGGGAGACACAGAGATGGACTGATACGGATGGATACGTGGGAGGACAAGATGGGAGGAGGGCAGGGGAAAAAAGGGAGGGGAGAAGGAAGGCCAAGCAAGGGGGGAAAGGAAGGGTGGGATGGTAACAACAAGATGCCATGGGAGCAATGCGAAAAGAGGGAAGAAGGAAAGTAAGAAGGAAAAACTATTAGTTTTTTTTTTTTAATAATAATAAAAAGGAATACTCCCAAAGCCAACAGCGTGTAGCTTTATTTTCAGAACGGTTGGAAGATTTTCAAAATGCATCAGTTTCTAACAGGAAGTGCTTTCTAGTTTTGCTCAGATAATCAAATAATATAAACCTGAAAAAATAAGCTTCATAAACATGCCTCAATTTTTTTCAGCACGATTTTAACTCCGCATGGTCGCTCAATGAAGGTTTGCTAACTGAGGACTGCCTGTAATGAATAGGATTGCAGAAAGTCTTTGGTGAATTTAAGAGCAGTGTATAATGTGAGCAAAGCCGGCGTGAGGCCAACTCAACAAATGGCTCGGCAATGGTGGCAGGGGGCAAGGCAAGGATGTGTAATGTTACATATGCGTTGTCGGAAATATGAATGTGTGTGTGTGTGTGTTCGTTTGCAGGCAGGCAATACCATGCTGTTGACTGAAAACACAAATTATTTGCGGTAAACATCAGTGGATCTGATCATTAATGTGCCCAAGTCCAAGGCAGTTGTGTTCAACAGGGATGGTAAAGTGTAGATAAACAACAAAAAAACTAGAAAAGAAGAATTTTAAGAAAGCTGGTGAGTAGTATATGGTATTCTCTTGGTTTAAAGATGCAAAAATGGCTACACATACAACCAATTTTTCCTTCTTTATTATACAGAGTAAAGATAGAGTATGTCAAGAGACAACTGTCGTGATTTATTAAATGTATCTAAATGCAAAGAAATGGAAACAGGGTACTTAAGAAGTCTTAAATAGGAGAGAAAGAGCTAAGAACGAAAGGATTTTGAAGAAACATGGAGGGAGTACAAAAACAAGTGACTGGTGGCCTTAGTCATGACAATATAGAACAAATATAGGGAAGAAGGGAATGTGTTGAGAGAGAGAGAGAGGGTGGGAGGGATGGGGAGGAGAGCAGGAGAGGAGAGAGAAAGAGGGAGGGAGAGGGATAGGAAGAAAGAAGGGGAGAGGGAGAAGAGAAAGAGAGGGGGGTGAGGGACAGAGTGGGAGAGGAGAGAGAGAGAGAGAGGGGGGAGGGGGGAGGGGGAGAGAGTGTGGGAGAGGAG